CTGTCATCCCTCCAGATTGATACAGATACTTCGGGTAGAAGCAGGATTCCGTGAGAACCGGGTAGCACGCGGTGTGACCGGTTGGATGATGTCGGGTTGCATTTAGTTTATGCAATACCGTGGCAAATAAAATGTCTGCGACTGAATGGCTCTCGAAATTGTTGAACCAATTCTGCTCTGTCGGGTAGATGAAGGTATTGCATAAAATTACATCTTTAGTCTAAGTTGTAGTAATACAGGCAAATTTTTGTAGAACTGGAATAGTTTTTTGGTAACAGGATGTCACCCTGTTGTCAGGTAGAAATAGTAATACCGAAAATTTCGATGACATCGGCTCCTGTAACCAGAGAGGTTGTGCGTACAATGGGGAATTGGTGTGGAATTCAAATATCTTGGAGTTGCTCGGAATTAAGACAAAACTAAAAAAATCATCTGGATGAACTTGCAGACCGATGTTCCTATTTAGCGTAAAATAATACTTGCTCTGAGCAGTAACCCATGATCCGACCGATTTTTCGTTAGATTTGGTATATTTTGGTGAACGTATGGAGACAAATAAAATAAGTATTTCGCAAAGCCAGCCGTGATTTTTGAGAAGATCAAGTCGGGGGGTGTCAAATGGAGGATAATTTTCTTGGAATGTTTCCGAACTATAGGGAAACCTGCGCTTCGTCAGGGTTAGCGGGATGTTCCGGGTTGTTGGTAAGTTTGAAGTGGTGATATTGTTAAAGAAAACGTGATATCGACACGACGTGTGGGGTGATAGAATTGATGCCAAGTTTATAGCAGGTAGTGCTACTTTGGGGTAGCCCAAGCTGGAATTTATTGTGTAGCACAATACGACTAACAAGGGAAACCTCCGAGGTGCCTGTTGAATCCAGGGTTCCCACCTATACCAAAATGACCACAATATGCGATTTATGACGTAAAGTGAAGGAATTTACGTGCAAAAATCAGTTTTCGTCAATCTGTGACGATATTTGTAACGGGCGTGTGAGCACGGTTGAGAGTGGATTCAAGGGACGAAGCGTGCGACTCGGAGATTGCAAAGAGTTCTCGCATAATTCAAATTCTCAATTAATATAATTTTAATTCTCATCTTATTCATAACTGTGAACAAAATCGTGTGGACGTGAATTAGTGTCGTCATTAGTTAGTGGGTGGTGGTGGTATTCAACAAAAAAGTGGTCGAAACAGAGTTGCAAATTAAATACAAAATAGATTACAATTGCACAAAAACTTTCCATTGGAAATACATAAATCCATTTCGCACTTTAATATGTTGATAGGAATAACAATTCGTGCACATTTTAAAATGCATCTTTATGTACATCTTTATATGTATTTAAGTAACCATCTACATATGTCACATTTTAATGTGCTTATCGTTTCAAAATCGGTCCCAGAATTTGACAATTTATTCCATGAAAACACTTTTTGCAATGTTTAAATTTGGGACGATTTATTTGTTGGTCTACCGTCGATTCAAAATTCACCATTTTGCCAAACAGTCTCAAAAATTATAATTAAGCTTGCCATTATGAATAAGAATTTTAAAAATTACATAAATGAAAATTGTGGTTTGCAATAAAAATGAAATATTTATAAACACGATCATGTGTTCAGCCAGCATCTCCGCCGGATGTCTCACGACGAAACTCTATGCTATCTATGCTCACACGCTCGTCACAAATATCGTCACAGATTGACGAAAAATGATTTTTGCACGTAAATTCCTTCACTTTACGTCATAAATCGCATATTGTGGTCATTTTGGTATAGGTGGGAACCCTGGATTCAACCGGCACCTCGGAGGTTTCCCTTGTAAGAGGTGATTTTGTTTCGTCATGATGTGGCTCAAAAAATTTTATGGCATCTATATTTTTACAGAATGTTTAAGCGGATTGAGAGGTTACGTACGTATGTATGTACACTACGCTTTCTTTATAAGGTTTGGTTTTTGGATAATTTGATACGCTAATAGTAAAAGAAATGAGACCGAGATGCTAGCTAGGTAGTAATTATCGTCTATGTATTGTGTCAGATTTGACTCTACGCACGAAGAGTGAAACCATGGTAACTAAAGTGAATAAACAAACCCAATGGTTTTTATTGCACGCAATTCTAACTATTAGCAAAATTAATTTCTCTCTCACTACCAAAATTTTCGCTTCACTTGTGCTAATGAAAACAGCATGTTAAACTCTAATAAAACCGGTATTGAGATAATACTAACAATGGAGGCGCAAACCATGTTCAGCCCAGATAATTTTTTGACCATGTTAGTTTGAAAGAGCAAGTCCTTACAAACAACATCTGGTTCGGCACTTGGGCAGATGCGCAAATTTCAGCACGTTATGGGCGCCGCAAGTTCGCAAAAACGCACGAAGTTGAGCTCGCGCTGGGCATTGCCCGAAAAATCGTGCGTTTTTGCGAACTTGCGGAGCCCATAACGTGCTGAAATTTGCGCATCTGCCCAAATGCCGAATCAAATGTTGTTTGTAAAGACTTGCTCTTTCAAACTAATAAGGTCAAAAAATTATCTGGGTTGAACATGATTTGCGCCTCCATTGTAAGCGGTATTTATATACGATTTTAGTATAGTGCTGGTCGATAAGTTAAATTTACCGTGTAATAAATGTTAAAAATCTGGTAGTGTCACATAGATACTCGATGATGGTATTTATTAAGTAGCGTCAGCTACTTATTGTGATCACTTTGTCCGTCCGTCCGTAAGCAATCTTTAGAATGCCTCAACATAATCAAAAGCGGTTTTCGCCATTGTGCTTCTAATTTTTGGTTCTCTGTCGAGTTCGAGAATGGGGTCAATCGTACCACCCCCCACCGCGCCAGGGGGTGTGGTCCAAAATTATATTCACGTTAATTTTCATATGGGGTATCATTTTAAAGGAAATTTCGCCACGAATTCAACGACATCAATAGTTTTGACCTTATGACCTTGACGAAGAGGTCAGAAAACACATAATTTTCATATGGGGTGCCATTTTTAATGAAATTCCACCGCGAATTTGAAGAAGTTAATATTTTTGACCTTATGACCTTAAGGGCGAGGTCAAAGGTCAAAAGGTTGAAAATTGTCGTATGGGGTGTCATTTTAAAGGAAGTTTGACTGCGATGTCAAGGACGTTAATATTTTTTGGCTTCATGACCGTTAGGACGAGGTCATATACGGAAACGTTAAAGGAAACTTGAATCGCTCTGACGCTACTTATTTACATTCGTTTGGAGGGTTTATTTGGTAATAATTTAATACCGGATTTGTAGTAAATTGTTCCTGAGTAGTAAATTTGTCATTACCACAACATTACTGGACGGTAATTCCCGTTGATACCAGTGCCGGTAGAGTTACATACATATGTGCTCCGGTCGGTAATGATTTAATACCGGTTTTCTGAGAGTGTAGGTAATACCACGGTTAGTTTTATTATATACATACGCATATTTATATGTTTTTCGTCTCTAAAATGTACTTCACCATTCTGGTTTTATAATTTACATGAGTGTTCGGCTTTCCATAAACTATAATCAAATATTCAATAAAAGTTACTCAAGCAAATTGGACACGAACGTTTTACATTTAATCAAAATCTCGCTCTTCTCAGAGCTTATTTTTAGCTACCGGGGAAACTGTCAACTTCATGTAATTATGCTGATTAGAATATGTATGTGCATATCTTTGTATTTTGTTCAATTTATGCGTATAGACAAATTTTTACAAAAATCATACTGTGTTATTTTAAATTATTCCTTGAAGATTTTGGATTCTAATTAAAAGTGGACACTTCGCCTAATATTTTTCAAGGAATATGCTCGGAACAACTGCGTCATTTGCAAAAATATATTAACATCCCCGTAGTTCATGAGACTCGTACTTTTTACCCTCGTAAACCTACAATATAAATTTAAATTTGCACAGGTCTATGCCCTTCGCATTTGTGAGAAATAAATCCATTAAACAAGCTATTATGCAAATAAATATTCAATGACTGGTCAAAAACAAATATTGATACGTAAGCAGAGGCGGCTGATAATTATTATTAGGGATAAAATAACCACTAATACTGTATGAATAGTTGTAAATTATTTACAACCACAATTCGTATGATTAAACTTATTATCAGATCACGTGGTAAATTTTCAAAGCTTTTATTATTACTGCGTGCCTAATTATGTAAACCCGAATACATAATTCACTTAATCTCTTACGGTCGACATTTATGCATATATTTGTGTACTGCAGAAATTATCATGATTCCTAAATTTCTCAAACATGAAACCATTTCATTTATAGTTTATTTGGTACGGTATGGTTAAGGGTAGATTTTTTTCTAAAATTTTTGAACATTCCCTATACACATAAATGTAAAAAAATTAGAGTTTTGCTTATCTTTTTTTTGTTTTTGGCTTTTAATTAAAAATTACAACGCGAACTCAATATTGTAGAAAAATTGGAACACGACTTTTTTCGGATGTCTCATTTCGGCACCTTTGGTCACAAGAAATTTCGAAACATAATTTCTGATAAACAATTGTATGGGCATTTCAATAAAAAGTAGTACAACTGTTTAACATAATTACTACTAATTTTTTTCGGCACGCGGAATGAACATAAAGACAGCGTCTTATATATGTAATTAGTCCTCATTTTTGATCCATATTGTGACGTCCATATTTCCTCCTGTCCATATTAATTTACTAACTCGAATTTTCCCCTCCTCATGACGTTAGTTTCGTTATAACATGAACAAAAGCCGGTGACAACTTGTCATCATGCCGACAAACATTACCACCATTTGCGTGTAGTTACAGACGTACATACACCAACCGATTTCGGCCGACAATATCCATAATCCAGCAATGGACTAATCCAGATAAAGGTTAGTACGATTTAAGCTGGGCGATAAAATATATTTGAACGCTTTATACAGATTACATACGTCAAATATGTTTCACTTCACTCTTGCCGCTACGTCGCGGCATCTTGTAAGCAGAAATTTGCATACTTCTCTCTGTAGAGACAATAATAGTCCCCCCAATAATAATCCCATCCACGTAGGTTTGTATAATAATGAAGAAAATTGGCATCCTCATCCTGACAGGGTTAATTGCAATATTTTCTACTGTTTTACAAGGTATGGGAAAATTTGAGTCATGTATCATAAATATTGCCACACACTTAAAAGTAATGTTGCCTTCTGGAAAGTCGCATTATGTTTAAGAGAAGTACGATCAGTCTTTACCCGTAGAATGAGTTTACCTTTTGCCTGGTGGTGGTTTAGACGGCGCTTATTTACCATTGTATCGTATCGTGCAAATTTATTTTTAATTGAAAAACACGTGATGATACGTACGTCAAATTGACCAGCTCAAATTGACCCCCGTAGTAATTATACGGTGCCTAATTTACTGGTTGAAATCTTTGAGACACTCACGCTCAAAGATGGGTCAATAAAATTCAAATTTGTCGCCAAAATAGGGTATTCACCCTCAATAAATAGTGTGTGGTCTTTTTGCAATAACTAATGTTAATAATTTCGAAAAATTGTCAAATATTTCGAAAAATAAAGGGGCAACCTGAACCTCTATGTTTACATACCTAATCTTAACTGGTAATTGACTATCATAATACGTTATGTCCTTATTAAGAGTCGCGTCAGCAACTACCCGTCGAAATTTGGGAGGCTGGATTTAGAAATTTTATCAGTGATGTTATCTCCAATTTTCCTCAATGGATTAATGCAAATGAGTTAGATCCCACTCCTCCAGGGAGCCGGACATATCCAATTAACCTCAACACCGGACCTGTATCTCTGACAGGATACTTTTCGTACTTGAATTAAACAAAAAGCCACCCCTGGAACTGGATTCCGGCTTTAATTTAATTAATTCTTCTTTCAGCAACGTCTCAGTTATTGGTTTGTCCACCATTTACAATCACACGTTTGATAACTCCGCAGCTTATGGCACGTCGTATGAGGGTCTACATATTGGAATGTATATTTGGCTGCGGCATGGTGGAATTCAGGGTAAGTGAACGGACAAAAATATTACATTTTTTCTAAATAAATTTGACTAAATTGTAGAATGAATGTACAATTTCGCATATTAAAGTTAAACTTTAACCAACCTCGTGGAATTTGATCTTCGTCCAATACATTTTATACAACCAGCTACTTATCTCATCGCAAATTTTACTCAACTTTATATCAATTGTATGTATTATGATTTTAGTTTGTTTATTAACCTATTGGCCAAATGTTGCGGACATGTGTGTAAAACAATTTGTCGGAAAAATGGTGAAAGCTGGGCACATAACAACGCCCTGATGAAAGGGACAAATATAGTTATTAAGCTTGAAGTGAGTAAGTAATGTGCAGTGCGGGTGGAGCAAAGTAGCGGGAAACCCTAGCTTCAGGATGACATAGGTAAGGAGGCCTCCCAATTCTGCTCCACCCGCACAGCACATAACTTACTCGCTTCAAGTATAGTTGTGCTTTTCTACCCAATTTGACACAACAATATATTTGAAACATACGGATACTACACGGTATTATCACAACTCTAGACAGTCGGGTAGTAATTCTGAAAAAGCAATAATGAAGTGAACATTAAAAGAAGAGCACTATTTATTTTCAACTACTTGTCAACCTTTATCCAGTGATCTGGCTTTCGTTCAGGTGATCAGAAAATTGCGATCAAATTCTCATTTTACAGGTCAGGCTGCATTAATCGCGAAATGTAGGACAAACCATCGCCCTCCGAGGTCACGGAGGAAGGAAGATGGTTGACAAGTACTCAAAAATTGTACTCTTCTTTTAATGTTCGCACCATATGCATGTAAATATTTTAATGGTATTTCGAACCCTTGAAGGAAATTACAATTTAACCGGACAAGCCGTTGGAACATTCCCGTTCGGTGCGATTAGTACGTTTAAGCTGACCTCAAATAGCCCCAGAATCGCATTTTTCGTCAGCTGTGTACAAACAAGTGGGAGGATTCGTTTAGCCACTGTGACGAGTAGCGTACCGGATTTCAGGTATGAAGCGAGTTCCTTATCAGCGAAATTTGACAACCTGTTCGACCTCTCACACGGAATAACGCCGGAACATGAAAAATACGTGATTGACAAACTTATTGATTCCTTATCAAACGAGTTATTTCGTGGGTCAAGCCGACTTTCCCAAGAGTTTATTTCGAAGGGATTGCAAGTGAATTTCTCGGTGAGTAAATTTCAAGTGGATATTTATGTTTGTCTTGCAGTAGTGTCACGATTGGAAGTTTGTCGCTTCGATTCCGGCGAGCTCGCAATTTTCTCTAGAACCTGGTTTAATTGACTTTTCCAAAATTAAATGAGTTTCTGTTTTATCTTCCCAATATATCAGATGTCTGATGGTAATTTGATTAGAATCGACGAGATATCAGATCAGATATCAGATTCAATATTAATCAAGTTACCACCAAATATCTGGTGGGAACCATACATTTAACATTATATGTAAGCAAATGCAGTCTGATCTTGTGTTTAACAGGCAACCCCAATTACGGATATTATCCAGTGGCCGGAGAAAGGCCCTGAACCTTCAACCACAAATGCACCGACATCGACAACTACTCGACCTGCAAGCTCCGCAGCAATTACGACACCAAAAACCCAAACTACTACACTAACTACAACCACACCAACTACAACTACACCGACCACAACTACACCAACTACAACAACGCCTACTACAACTGCACCTACTACAAGTACATCAACTATATCTATACCAACTACAACTATACCTTCTACACCTACACTAAGAACTACAACGCCAACTACAACTACATCAACCACACCTGCAACTACACCAACCATAACTACACCGACTACAACAACGACGCCCACTGCAACTTCAGCAACTACAACAACTACCTTACCTCCTACAACACCAACTACAACTATAGGTTCATCAACTCTAACCTCATCCATCACTACAATTGCTCCAATACCTTCAATTCCACCAAATGAAATTTTTACTGCGTGTCAATTAGCAGAAGAAATATCTTACATTAGCGGAAAAAGTGTAGACTGGGACACTAATCTAGACAAATGTAAGTGTTCTTGTATTTATTATCTGGTTGACTACAGTTCAACTAACATTGCATTACTAATATCACATTTACATGTGCCCCAATATTATTCGCAGGGGTTTGCTTGTCGAATGTGACCACCAAATTTACAAACTCGTATATACAAGTATCTAACACAGATCCCAGCATCGTATATTATAGAATTTTCAAAGTATGTAAACATGTATATTTATGATTTATACATATCACACAATTTTATTTAAAAGATCAATTTGAGTATAAATAAACATTATTTTCATATATGTATGTAGATCAGCAACGGGTGGTGTACAGATCCTCATCAGAGCCGACAGAATCCGTGTAATATTAAATGTCAAGGTTCGTACAATTATGTAGAGAAGTGGCATCGATTATTTATGTACAGTTCAAATACTTTTCGATTGCATGATTAACGCATTTGCGAATAATAATTTTTAGTTTACGTAAAACATGTGTATGCACAGATCTTCTAAACAACCTTGAAGGTAGTATCTCCTGTGCGCAACATATCTTGGAAGAAAATGGGTTTCACGAATGGCCAGAATACGAAATATGGTGCACTAACATTCCACACAATTACCTTGCAGAATGCCGTCGTAAGTAGTTACAGTCATAAGAAAAGAACCAGTTTCAATTATTCGTATCAAACAAGCATATCTGTTCACATACATATCTTCGTTGCAGGATCCCCAGGATTTATATCAACGGATGGACCCGAAACAGCCAAGGTGTTCAACGAGTTAAGCCAAAACCAGCAAATAACTTGTTCCGTGCATGGAGTTCCTCCACCAGAGTTAACCTGGGATCAAGAAACGACAGCGTACATAGATAGTTACTCCGGAAGACTAGAGACAAACCAATTTCGTGAAAGATCGACCGATGGATCATGGATGGTTCAGCGTGGTCTAAGTTTTACTGAAGTAGTCAAATCAGACAACCGTGGCTATGCGCAAAATATCGTATCAAATAAAACTCAAGAATACACCGTTACAGTAGTGCCTGCTCCGCAAAATTCCTCATGGACTACGCCAACGCTTATTTCTACCGGAATTGCGTTAGCATTACTTATCCCTGCGGTACTGGTGTTGTTGTGTCACCGAAAACGGGTATGTCAATAATTAAATGAGATCCAATTTGGCATGTATTATAATTGTAAGATTCCGTGCTTTTCAGTTAATTAAACTTGGGAAAATGCACGATGATTTCAAATATGGTCGAGACGATGAGACAGGCAATAATAAAACAAAACGGCGATTGCCGTTCCTTCCTTCCGAAATACATAGAACGTACCAGAATATCAATGCACTACCGTTTCCGAAAGAATTAGAAATCATTCCATCGCGATTGACTTTAAACAAGAAACATGTTCTTGGTAGAGGAGAGTTTGGAATTGTCTTTATGGGATTACTCGATGGAATAACTCCTACTGCAGTAAAAACCGCTAAAGACGTTTCGGATGACGTAAAACTCAACGCACTTTTATCCGAAGTAAAAGTAATGGCTTATGTAGGAAGCCATAAGAATGTTGCGCAGCTACTAGGTGTGCAGCTGGTAGATTTGAGGAAAGGTCTGTTTCATAAGCTAAAGCTACAAGTTTAGTTGTCGATTTTCTTGATAGGAATATTTCTGATTTAATGTGCAGGTCATATATATATCGCCGTCGAGTACTGATCGCTTGGTTCACTAAAAGAGTACTTAGTCAAACATAGTGACGAGCTGGGAACCACGGTATCATTTGACAAGTTTCAGGACTACATAGACCCACCTAATTTCGTTAGACCCTTATCCAGGTACGAATTGTTGCGGTGGTGTCATCAAATTTGTGGTGCGATGGAGTTCCTGGGTTCAAAGAAGGTATATGATATGTAGCTGAGCAGCTGCAATTTCGAATAATATTCAGTCTAAATGTAAAACCATCGCATTTAGGTTATTCATGGTGACTTGGCAACTCGAAATATCCTTCTCGATAGCAACTGTGTAGCAAAAGTTTCCGATTTCGGACTTTCTCGTCAGATGTTTCACAATTATAAAAAATCTGTTGTGGGATCAGGGGTAAGTATAACCTGATAAAAAAATAATAAAAATTTAATTTTATTAAATACGGCTCATGAAGGATACACCACTTCCAATTCCATGGTTGTTAATTGAGGCTTTGCGACACTTGCGATTCTCAATCCAATCGGACATTTGGGCTTTCGGGGTCTTAATGTGGGAGGTTTTCACATTGGGAGAAACGCCATATATTGGCATTAATAGTGTTCCCGAGTTTATCGAATATTTGGAGGACGGACACCGATTAGAAAAACCGGAATATGCTACAAACGAAATGTAAATAATTAAACCGAATATGTAAGTTTTTGTGTCGAACATCTAACTTAGGAGGTTCTCTTACAATTCAGATATGGACTAATGATGAAATGCTGGACATACGCACCAACAAATCGAATTAGTTTTCAGCAACTATCAATTGAACTACTTTGCTTGTACGGTTTGGAATATGCGAAATTAGCATAACGTTAGACATTAAATATTGTTTCTCCAAAGACCAGTTAAACAACATTAGATTAATTAGCAAACATAAAGCTAAAATTAAGGTGTTGATATGTTGTAAAGTACAGGGTGGTTAAAATGTCACGCTACAATGGGAAATTTTTCGATGGGAAAAATCCATAAATTTCCATTAGTTACCGAAATTTTGTCTCTAGAATGCAACATTTTAAGAATTTTGTCATCAGTTTTGATAATAATTTAAAAAAATCTCAATCCCAAATCTTGTAACTAATGGAGATTTAGGGACTTTTCTCATTGAAAAATTTTCCATTGTGGCGCGACATTTTAACCACCCTGTAAATGATGTCTAAGAAAAATGTGGTGAAAATGTTTTTTCTGTCTAAATAGTGTTTCTTTTCGAATTATCTGACGGAATCGGAAATAAATAAGTTAGGGCTGCAGTTGGAAACAATCCACGATTACCGTTTTTAATTAGCATCAACAGATAAAAACTCGTTAACAGACTACGTTACATCTTTATTTGAATTTGTACCGGTTTATTGATTAAAATTAGAATTAAAATTAATCGATATAATTTTAACGATATATGAATTATTCCAAGGAAACTTTAAAATCTCACAATTTTAATTTTTGTTAATCAAGATTTTAAAATTAATTTGCTAATAAAATTACCTCTGAATAAATGACCCAAGCGGGTAATTTGACATAATTCAACCTTTATTTATTATCTCTCTTTTGTAAATAATTAGTTCAAATCATTTATTGGGGAAGGAGAGTTAGCACCATTCTAAATCAAACCACTGCGACGGGTCGCTTGAATTTAGGGGAAGTAGAGACAAGTCGTAGAAACCAGCTGCTCTGAAAGTTGTTAATTATATAAAACAAGTTAATCCTACATTGTTTGGAAACTGGTATTGAATCATTACTGACTAAAATAAACAAACGACTCTACCGGCATGGTAATAACGGACATTACCTTTCAGGAAGGTTGTGATAATCACGACTCAAAAACCAAATATTACCAATCCAGTAGGACGTTACAGATTTTTATTACAAATTACAGATTCAGATTCGTTGCAGATTCTGTATTACCAAGCAAATACCAGTACTCAATTTAATTTTAGAAATTAAATTAGCGTTTCTTACGGATCATATGCCATAACAGTGTCCATATCTGTGTATGCAAGCGATTGGAGCACAACACGAGTGCTTGGTTGTCCTGGAACGGGGTGCAAAATCCAGTACGGATTATAATACGTGTCGTCAATATTCTGTCAAAAATATCAAAAATATAGTACGATTTCAGTTTATAGGGAAGAAACATATCGTCGTTAAAGGTGCATTATGAGCTAACTGATTTCTCCTAGGTTTCATCCCTCCCACAGTATCACACTCTTAGAAATCCGGTATTAAGATAATATCAAGCGGTATTAATGTATCGTAAATGTGACATGTTTTTACGGTACAAGTACAATGATAGCTACTTTAATACCGAGAAATCAGAAAATATTTAGCTGTCCGACTATGCTAGATTTCTAACCGTGGTAATGCGTTTTTGGGGAATCAGCAATACAACGGGTAACGCGAGAACAGTTTCAATCACGATTAAACGCATATTAAAAAAATGAACACTCTAAAAAATAGTTTTACTCATTTGAAAAGTAAATGAAATCAGAATTCTATACATATGTCGCTCAAACTATACTAAATCCAGAGTAACGTTAACGCAATAAAGAGTAAAGTTTGTTCTGGATTTAATATAGTATATCTAATTTAGAATTTAAGGTGAATTTACTTTTCAAATGTTGACGTTTTTTTAAGAGTGAAATACTTCTTACGTAAAGGAATGGTACTCGAATCCCATACTCTGAAAACATGGCATACTGAAACATGTCAATCCCACCTCCACTCAACGCGGACAGAAACATTGTGGTGTTTGTCCCTATCGTGATAAAATAAAATTATGACTCTAAGTGGTTTGTTTGTGTTCCAGCATTGATGTACATATATACGTACACTCTTAAAAATAATGTTACCCATTTGAAAATACTTAACGGCATTTTGAAGTCTAAATTAAGTAAGTAAATTACACAAAATTCAAAGTATATTTAACTTGACAAAGAGTAAATTTCACTCTTAAGTAATTTAGTTTAGCTTAATTAACGTAGAATTTAGAGTACTTACCGTTAAATAAGTATTTTCAATAGGTTGATAACATTTTTAAGAGTGTATACGCAGACTAAACCTTCAATATGAACCATTTTCCAAATCTGTGCCGTGTCTGAGCACCCCACTCCACCGAATGACGCAGTGTGAAGGATTGTTCCATTGTCCAGCTTACGTTCTTCCACCGTTATCGCCTGTTACGAAAAATGAGTCAATATTTGTGTAACTGCACTCGTAAATTATTGGTAAATTATTGGTATTATGTGTAAATTATTGGAGTCTAAATTTTATATGCGGCAAACTATACACTCTGAATAAAAATAAGAAAAATTTACTCAAGGTTGACAAAACTTATCTATCCAACAATTGGCAGAATTTACCCACCCGTTGGGCAAATTTTACTCAAAATTACCCTAATTTTACCCTAATTTTGGATAAATTTTGCACGACTGTTGGATAAGTTTTATCTTTTGGCTGTATCATCATCTTTCTTTTTACTCAACCTTGAGTAAATTTTACACATTTGTATTTAGAGTGTACATACGAAATTCAGACTACCGTGAACTTGTTATAGAGTAAAGTTTACCCTGGATTTAGTACAGTTTACGAAATATGGTAAAGATTGGGAATGTAGCTCCCAATCTTCTCAAAAGGTTTGAATTATGTATTATAATAGTTATTTTTAAAAGTGTATGTAGCTTTATCTCGTCCTGCTTTCATCATATTATTAATTACCGTATTGGTGGAAGGTCGCCTTATGCGGATAATTTGATGATGTGGAGCTTCCGTGGTCGTCGTTGGTCTCGTGGTTGTGGTGCTGGGTGGGGGTCGAGTCCCGCCCACACACTCAGGAACGTTTAGCGGATGGTCGCACACGACTAAATTTTGGTTCCCGTACAAAGTGGGGGGACATTCTCGCAGCACAGGGACCCCACCGGAGCAATGATAGTAAAATTTACAATCTGGGTGTGGCCAAAATTCTGCGCCATCGTTGCAAATTTCTTGGCCATTTGAACAATCACTTACTGCGAGAAACACGGCCTGTGGAGAAATATTAAAGAATTGCATATTGAAATGTATCCAAATAATACTCGTGTGGATTTACCATGAAGAAAAAATGCGACACTTTGGTAGAAAAGTCCATCCTGGTTTTATTTCTTAAAGAATAAAATAATATATATATATATTGAGTCAAAATTATTTGTTGAGTTGTGTGTGTAGCGTAACTGGTACGGAATGCAAGCTCGAAATTTATTAAGGATCGAGTTAATTGGGTCCAACGGATGATTATAACGGTAATTTTTCAGATAAGATAAGATACTGAATCCATTAACACTTTCCTCGGAAGGTGCGCAAATATGTGCTTACAACACTCTAAATAACTTGGTCACAAATCGTCACCCCGATAGTGCTCTATTTTTGGGTAATGAGTAAGGAGACATTTTTAACTATAAGGAAATAAGTCAAAAACTCGTGCACCACACACACGTTGCAATGAAATTAAATTTCTAAGAAAAATATTAGATACCTTTGTTGTCAAAATATTAAGTGTTGGTTGTTCGAGCCTTAAAAACTATCCACGTGTCGAAACAAATTATTTACATATGTGTAAGTATTTTAAATGTGTGGCGATAATTAGTATAATTTTTACATCGTTTAGTGATTTGAATGGAAAATTTTGACACTAATTTCCCTACAATTTCCATATTTGCGTACACTAGTTTAGTGTAATAATTTGCTTATGCAACTGACCTAATCGCAAAAAAGTCATAAACTTTATTTCATATGTATGTACATATATATATTCATAAATTCGTATTAATTGAGACAGTGAGTTACATATATGTACAACGTGAATTATGTATCAAGTCAAGTATACTAAATCCATAGTAACGTTAACTTGATGAAGAGGAGAGCTATCATAATAGCTCTGAATTTAATATGCATAGTTTACCTATAGGTAATAGAGAATTCTGAGTTATTTGATTTTCAAAAGAGAGTTTGTTTGAGGAATCCAAATTTTTGTAAGTTGATCGGTTTATCCACTTTTTGTCATGTTTATGATGGAACAAACGAATTTCGATTCCGTTCTCGCGTTACCTTGCGGAATGTTTTACGGACGGAAAAATGCACAAATCCTCCTCATAAAGTGGCGGAATAGCTACTTAATAACAATGTAAAGCTTTATTCAAATACCACAGACTGAGGAGGCGAGCCTTGCTTCTTACGTGTTTTCCATTAAAAACAAAAAAGGCAGATCTATTTTTAAGAAAGGTCTAAATATCAACATTTCGTCGCACTAATTCTAAATAGACGTAAGTGCAGTCGATGTTTTATTTTAAAAAGACGTAAGTGCACTCGATGTTTAATTTTAAAACCACGTAAGTGAAGTCGATGTTTAATTTTAAAACCACGTAAGTGAAGTCGATGTTTAATTTTAAAACCACGTAAGTGAAGTCGATGTTTAATTTTAAAACTACGTAAGTGCAGTCGATGTTTAATTTTAAAAAGACGTAAGTGCACAAAAAAAACTAGTAAAAAGACGTAAGTGCACTTTTGAAATTATTAAGAGTAATTACTTGTTCAAAATTGTCATGTCAATTGAAATTTGACTTTATTGGCCCCGGTAGGATAGTAATGAAAGAAAATTCAAAATTTTAATTCCACACCCTCAGGGGGTGTGGTTCTCTTGGGCCTAACGTAAGGTGAATCAAATCCTGACTTTTATTTCTTTTCTACCCCCGATAAGGCAATTACTAAAGATTATTAGAAATTTAAAAACCACACCCTTGGTGGGTGTGGTTCTCGGCGTCTAATTTGCTACAAATAAAACATGGCATTTAATATATCCTTTTTCTCAGCCCGATGGTCCATATTCGACGGTGCACATAAAATTTTAAAACTAAAACATTCAGGGGGTGTGGTTCTTAAACCCAAAATTGAATTTTGACTTGGATACACCCGAAGAATTGCATTTTCACTGGTTACACCCCCAAAGTTCTCAAAATTGAATTTTTACTCGGTTACACCCCCAAAGTTTCCACAATAGAATTTTGACTAACAAGGGAACCTTAAGTACTGTCACCTCTCGATTTCCTTCCAAATAGTCTTAATCGACAGATAATTTAGTGAAACTAAAACTTTGTCATAGAACATGCGGTGCAAAATCACGTTTTCGCGAAATATTTGCGAGAGCTGCACCAAAACGTGTCATTTTCCCAATGCTTTTAATATAGCCACCAGCCTTCGAACGACCTTTATAGAATATTGATTAATTATAAACCTGTCCGTGTAATTTCAAGCCTGATCACGAGTATGCTATAAGCTGATGCAAATATTTGCCATTTGTTGCAAACTTTTTTGCAAAATTTCGCAATTTTAAATTTGGTTGTTTTTTTAATTTTGCAAAATGTGTAAGTGATAAAATTTATTTTTCATGTTGCAAATATTTGCAATTTTTTTGCAACTTGCAAAAATGAATAATGGGAAATAATTTTTAAAATTGCTTAAAATTTAAAAGGATTAGTTATTTTAAGTGTTTTCATGAAAAATTTGAACGATGTAAATTTAATGTAAATTTCAATTTTTGCAAATGTTCGTAAATTTTTCGAAATTAGTAAAGTGAGTTTTTAAAAAACCTTGCAAAAAAGAGCAAATTTTGTGAGTATGACAAAATTTTAATTTGCGAAATTTTGCAAAAAAAAGTTTGCAAAAATTGGCAAACATGACATCAGTATTCGTGATCAGCTTTGAAATTAAGCGCACAGGTACACTCGGTGGAACTGCTGATCATCCTCACCTAGTGCGCTCGGTTCCAATGGTCACCGAACGGGGGACGGCCGACCAATACCAATCAAAATGGCATGAAATGTGCAGAAATATGTTATCAATCAGTCTATTCATCAAAAACTTGTAGAAAGTTATCCAGATGCATTTTATACGACATTAACATGGAGAAATTCATAAACGGGCTCGCAACTACTGTTCATCCGCTTAAAGCAAATTCCATTTATTTTTAGATTTACCAACTTAATTTTATAATTAGTAGTTTGTGTGACCACCCTTGGCCATCAGGACTGCATTGACTCGATTTGGCATCGATTCCACTAATTTCGCTGTTGTTTCCTTCTGGATGTTGTTCCATTCTTCGTCCACAATTGAAATTAAATTTGTTCTGGAAGTCGGGTTCCTTTCAGCAACTTTTTTCTTCAAAATTGACCATAAATGTTCAATTGGATTTAAATCCGGGCTCTGTGGCGGCCATTTCATTGCGTTTACCCGTTTTGTTTGCACCCAATTCGTGACCAATTTGGACGTATGTTTGGGGTCCCCGTCTTGTTGGAAGACAAAATTCTTCCCCAGTCGCAGGCTGTTCCGAGATTTCATCAAATTTCGGTCCAAAATCCCTTGGGACACTTCTTTCGTCATAATTCCTTCAATTACTTCCATGGTTCTCCTGCCTTTCCAAGACATTGCACCCCAATCCATAATGGACCCCCCACCATGCTTCACGGTCTTCTTGGTACAGTTACTCTTGACTCGTTCTCCTGGTTTTCTCCAGACAAAGACTTTGCCATCTGATCCAAATATGTTTATTTTGGTTTCGTCACTCCAAAGAACTTTTTTCCAATCGGATACCGACCACGTGGAGTGACTCTTCGCCCAATCCAAACGCTTCTTAATTTGGGGCTTTGTCAGCAGTGGCTTTTTGATTGCGACTCGGCCTTTAAACCCCATATTTCGGATCCGATTTCGAATAGTGGAATCAGAAATCTTCGTACCAAACTGCTGAGCCAATTCCACATTGATTTTTCGGGCAGATAAGAAACCATTGGAATTTGCTTTCTTCTGGATAAGTCGGTCGACTCGAGGAGTGGTAACACGACGGCGGCTATTTCCCTTCAAATCAATAATTGTATGGTATTTCTTCCATTTCGACAGCATGGATTTGATGGTGGGAATCTTCACTTTCGTCTTGTTGCTGATTGCTGTAGGTTTCAATCCTTTCTCGTGGTAACTTATCACCAATTTCCTAATGTCGTGCGACAAGTGTTTTCCAGGCATTTTCAGCTCTGAAAAACCAAAATGACAATGAATAAAATGGTCTTCATTACTTGAATTAATAGTAATCAAGATGTACTTACCCGCATAAGAAAATGATAAATCAAGCAAATTGTTTCCACTCGAAAATTTTGTTTTTGTTGTGGCGGATGAAGACTAGTTGCGAGCCCGCTTGTGTCTTACTTTATGCTCATTCCGTGTAAAATGAGTGCAGTTAACTTTTTGGAAGTTTTTGCTTAATTGACTGATTTAGTACATATTTCTGCACGTCTGATGCTTTTTTGACATATATTGGTCGGCTATGCCCCTTTTGGTGACCATTGGAACCGAGCGCACTAGGTGAGGATGATCAGAAGTTCCACTCAGTGTATATAACTTTACGAAAGTTATAGTGACAATTTATTAAAACCGTGTTAAAATTAATTTGACGATATCGGGGTAAATTCGTGTACGGGCCGGTATAAATTTAATACTAACAGTTGTAGCACCTTTAATACCAGGAAATCAATAGATTCTAAAATTTTATTTTATTTTAATTTTTTTTACTAGTTTGGTATCCTACCTCGAAATGGAGAAGGCAACTGAAACGTCCCACTTTCCTACACATTTGCCAGAGGTGACTGTTTATTTTATTTTAAAATGCTATTTCTGATTATACTAAAATTTTATAATTTTCAAAAATTTATTTTGCACAGATAATTTCAAAAGTTATGGAATTCCTGCCCACTCCCGACTTAGAATCTTGCTCTCTGATAAACTCCACGTGGGAAAAAGAAGCACTGAAATACCTCACTCGAAAACCAGTCGCGATCCAGCTGCGTTCAGAAATTTACGATTCCAAGGACATTACCTCCCTTGGCAACTTGTCCGCTCAGTACCTCCAAATTGGTACCTATGGGGTCAACAATCTTGAAATGCTACTCCCAAAACTGGAATTATTTAACTGTCTCGATTCAAACACCGTCAAAAAATTACAAATCGAGGTTCCCCTCGATAACGCGTTACGCCACGTGGCGTCTCACCTGATCAAAATTTACGAACCCTTCAAAAATTTGAGATCTTTGGAATTCCAATTTTTCTTGACTAATTACAACGAAATGTTTTCTTCTGAGGATGCCTGGCGTGAATTGTTTCCTGATCGTGGTACCCAAAAGGTGAAAAAATTGATCACTTTGTTCCTCAATATGTCCCACTTTGTTCCTCAATATATATCTTTTCGGACCAGATGGTAGAAAGATATGAAATCTCGGTCTCCCTCACCACCCGAATTCTAACGGTTTTTCGGCAGGTGCAACATCTCGTCTTGTCCGACGTTCCTGCCGCAAAAACCTTTCAAGATAAAGGTATCACTCCACCCCTATTAAAATCAATCTCGATACGAACATATCGAATCGGTTCGCGAGACCATGATTTGTTAACGCGATTTTTCCACATTAATTCCCGTCTGAAGGAAAGCTTCACAAATGTTACCCGGCTAGAGCTTAACATGGTAGGCGACTATCCCCTCATCTCCGTCGGTCTTCTTCCCCTGCTGGCGCAACAGCTGGAACACGTGTCATTCTCAGAGGTCGAAAACATCTCCCCAGTGATTACCCCTGCCACCGTCGTGATCCCGATTCTCCCCAAGTTAAAAGTTTTTGAAATCTTGAGGAAGCAAACTACCCGAACTCGGTACACCCAAAGTTCGGTCTGGTTTCGCCCAAATATTCGCTTAGATTTTGAGTCTGAGCGGGACGGAGTTAAGCTAGATTACCAGAGACAATTTCCCGCCCTGTGGAAATTAGTGGTACGCGCGGTTCCCGAATATGTTCCAGTTAGCTGTACAGACTTCTACACATGGCCGGATGAAACTTTCCATTTTGCAGCGACGATGCTGTTCCTGTACGAGAATTTTTTGGCGGAGGGTCTCGAACCGTGTGAGACTTTGAGAAATTTGGATATCTCCATCCCCACGGGGGAAGTGGAAAGGAAGAAAATGAGGCCGCGATGTTGGAGTTGTAATAACACGAAGTTTTGTAAATTTTGGGGGTGTGTGGAAGACTTTGTTAATCCGTATGAGAGGATATCCGCCGTTTTTCCTAACCTGGAGTACCACGTGGTTGAAATGCGTAGAAGGAACGAGAGGGCAGCGGATATCAAAAAGTTTAAAGAGTTGGCTGAGAAGCTAGGGATTTTTGATGGGAATGATTTTAGTCGCGTGGTGGGATTGGAAAATTAGTAAATCGAAATACTGGAAAAAAATTTACAACATTTACATACTCACCACAATTACACTATTACATTATTGTTATACTTAAATTATCCACAGATGTATCTTCTAATCTCTGACAACCTATGTATAAAGAAGTATTAAATTTGTTGTTGTTTTATTTTTTTCATTCGCGACTTATGGATTGCCTTACCTAATATTTTTTTTTCGCAAAAATAATTTATCTGGACAAATATTTGATTAATTAAGAACTCATTGGGCTAAATTACCGTATGTGTATACATATTTATGGACGGAATGATTATTAACTGCCCTCCACGTGCTCGATCTATGCGCAAAATTGTTCCTTGTTTATGTAGCTGATTGATAATTAAACACGAAATAGTAAATAAATATGTATGTATGTATTTACAAGCAATAATTTAACTCTTATTCATTGATATGCATATACATACATATACATACATATGTACTTATATCTGCAAATAAAACTACACTTATTACATATAATATTATATTAATTAATGTGTAAATTGTAAAAACGAAATAAATTTTCAGCTCAGAAGCAAATAATTTATTTTTCCTTCCTCTTAACTAAATTTATGCATCTTTTTTCAAATATTTGAGAATAATTTATTTTTTCCTAGGGACACCAATTCACGCAAGATTCATCTCCTTTATCTCGTCATCATTCCAAATGCCCAATTTCTTTCCGAAGTTCTTAAACTTTTCAATATTCGCCATCCTCTCGTTCCTTCTTAATCTATGAAGTAGGTCGTACCGCACGTTTGGGAAAGTGGTGGTCACCCTCTCATAAAAATTAAGGACATCATCTTCTTTCCACCCCCAACATGCACAAGCTCCATCGCAATCGCAGCGTCGCCTCAATTTCATCCTGCCAACATTTTCGCGGAAGGGAATGTCCAAATTTGTGACAGTCTCGCAAGGAAGGACCCCCTCGGCGAGAAAGGTTTCCTGCAAGTAAGAATCGAGTTTGTCAGTGATATATTTCATATTTGTCAGTTTGACCGTTCAATTTGTCACAATTCCAATGTGACCGACATTTATGACAAATGTGTCTGACGGATAAATTGGACATTCATGACAAACATGAAATCTTGTCTGGCTGTTCTCCATCGACTTTTTTCTCCACAATACATAAATTCATTCTTATATTTATATATCATCATTTAGTTTTATTCATATTGTTGTAGATAATCGAACGATATCAAATTTTAGGATTTTTTTCGAAAATAAATGACCAACGCGCTGGAAAATGTCAAGATGACAAATTTAAATTGCCATAAATTTTTAATTTGTGAAAAATATAAATATCAGACTAATTAAAGATTTATCACAATTTGAATTTGTCATATTTCTCGCAATTTTTAAAAAGTCTGACATGGCAATATATTTCAACGACTTATCATGAACGTACAACCCTATTTCATACCTGCAAGAGAAGCATGGTGGCTTCGAAATGCCAATTTTATATGGGACGATTCCACCTCGTCCCCATGTGGCATGGCACCACGTGGACGACTAATTTCTCCAGGACAGGAAACTGCCTGGAATAGAATAACTTTTCACCCGATGCAAACTTCAAGTAGAGCCTGGGTCGGAACCACGTGGGTCTTCTAGACAATGAGAACTGACGCCGCAAAATCTTGAAAATTTTTAGTTTTGGAAAATTTGGGAGAAATAAATAATCTTGGTCGAGGGGTTTTAACATCAGGTCGACTTTTAGCACGCCGGAAATACAAAGAATTTCAAGTTGAGGGGCCAAGAAGTGGAGAATATTTTCAGCAATATCTGTTCAAAAAATGGTTCAAAGCTCATTCAGTTTATTAATTAGTTTTGATTTCTTCAAAATTTCAAAATGAATTTTTATTCACTTATTATTTTAGACTCGCTTTAGTTAGATGAGATTCTAATTACGCGACATGTATTAAATATTGCCCGAAAAAATATTCATTCATGATTTATTTATTCAAAATTTGAAAATGATCCTTTACTTGTTATTCATATTTTATTTGTTTTATCGTAAATTCAATTTCTCAACATTCCCCATGGGCTGAGCATGAGGCGGCAAATAAATAATCTATTTATTCCTCATGAAGATAAAATGAATAAATATTTATTATATACTCATCCATTCAAAAACTTTGATCGATTAATTCATTAATTATTCATAATTTTATTGAATAATAAATGAACTTATGAAGGACTGAAACCGTTTTAGATGTGCTCTCACCTGATTCCGTTACCGCATTAATTTCCAAGGTGGTCACATTTCCATAGTTTCTCACACTTGGGAAGGGATTATTCGCCACTGCGGGAATCTTAAATCCCCGGACCGACAAAGACGTAAGTTCTGGTAGGGCCACATTGTTATCCCGCATTACCCCGGTTGCATCGACAAAACCGAGATGACTGATGTGCCGGGGAAACGTGAGAATTTCCGGGATTAAAACATTCACAGTGTCCCGAACCAGGCCGGAAACGTCGGGAATGTTGCTATGAGTGTGGGACAAGTTGACCACGAATCTGGTCAGCGTTTCAGGGTAGGTGAAACCTATCGGGAATAATTCCCGCCATTCTTCCTCAGAAGTTGGTGGGTTGAATGGACTCATACTAGGGCGCCATTCTAAAGATTTCAGTTTTTTAAGGGATTCACAAAATTTTAGGGTACGGTATGCCACAATTTTTAACTTGGAGTTCAGGGGAAGCTCGATACTTAATTTGGTCAGGGTTATGAAATTCGCCTCGCCAAAGAATGGGTCCAAGAAGGGAAGCATGTCTTCGGAGGTCGAGTAAGGTGAAATGGTTAGGCACACGTTGGCGGGATATTTCCAATTTGCAGCGGTGAAATGGGAGATGCGATTTGGATAGAGACTGGTTGGGAGGAGAACATCGAGGTATTTTCGAGTCACCCTTTGCCACGTGGAGTTCACCAGGGAACATGATTTTAAGTCGGGAGACGGCAGGAATGAAGAAATTGTGGAAATTATCTGCAAAAATTTGTGTAACTTAATAAAATTGTTATACAAAGCGGAGTATTCACACTCTTATAAATCAAGTTCTAAAAAGAAACCAAGTGCTATTCTAGTATTAATATTGTGAAAGTAGTATGGATAAGTCTAACGTTGTAATAATATCATTGGTTGATATTACACAAAATTCTTAAAGTGTTGCATTTTAGCAACAAAATTTCGGTAACTAATGGAAATTTATGGATTTTTCCATCGAAAAATTTTCCATTGTAGCGTGACATTTTAACCACCCTGTACATTTGTATGTACAGATGCATACAAGCTAATGTTCACTCAGGATGAGATGGATGGATTCCTCAGAATGAAGATTGTGCAAGTACATGAAAACTTTCTAAAGTATTTTTAGGAAATTCATGAGTAGATAAATATTTGTGCTACTGTACCCAAAGCAAAGGGTCAATTCCTCCACAGGTAATAAAACCTTTTTGTAATGTGAACTTACTCAAATGTAGGCATACATATAAATATAATTCATATGCATGCATATACTTCCTACTGTATTTGCATAGCTTGATGTAACTGATTTGCATACAGACCGCGTAATAAATAGACTCCGCCGGTGATAAAACGTGGGTCACATTCAAATGTACCCTGAAGGCTTATGTAGGTGTGGGTGGGTAAGCGTCTCATTCAATTTTGTTTCTGCAGGGTTGTTTCCTCAAACTACGGCCGAAACATAATCTGGGTTGAACATGGACTTCGTCCCCGTTTTGGGTTAGGGTACTATTTGTAAGCACATTTGCCACATTCGATTTGGAGTACTTTTACCATTTATGAGAAATATGTATGCTCCCCTTAAACCTCCAAGAGATGATCGTACACACGGGTTGGTCTGTCTACATAATGGATTCCTGGACTCGTTACTTCGCAAGAATAAGTTAACTATACTGCATTTTGAGTAAAAGGTCAGTAGAAAAGTTTCCAATGGAAAGATGTGAATATTTCTACGACTATTTAACCCTACAAACACGGATAATGTCCCTTCAAGAAATATGTAATTTTGTACCTTTTTTAAAATACATAAATATATATGTGCTACATATATATAGTTGATCCTTTTCCCAGATTAACCTTTATTTCTGTACGGTATATTTTTAAATGTGGCCCTAAGCTTATTACTAAATATACTTTACATATTTTCATAGAACGAAATTCATTACGCTGTCAAGAAAAAGTCAACGGACGAAGAACACCGAGACGAGATTTTGCTTCAAATCGAAAAGTAAGTTATTTAAAAAACAGGTGGCAATTTATACTTATTGATTAACAATTATGAAAATTTATTCAATTCTTCGCTACCGAATTCACACCCATAAATATTTTTCCCGTTTCACTATTTCTAGCATTAGCATATTATGCATTTTTTATTAATAATGAGCTGCTAAATAATTTCGCACTTGGTGTTTAATATAGTTACGAAGGGTGAGGACGACGCATTCGCACGAAAATATGCCGAAAGTTACGGATCTTTGTGATAAAATTCGTCACAATCTGAACTTACAGTCAAATTCTTCACGGAAGCAGGGGAACTTTCGAAATTCTAGGAAACGTTGCAGTTTATGTAAATAATTACATATCTTTTTATCATAATAATTAAAGTTTTATTCATTCCGAGAGATATTAATTACCATTCCTATACTAAATTCTAGACTCGGATAAAGTACCTACCAACGCCGCAATCTCGGAAGCGTTACGGAATCCGCTGGTAAGTTAATTGCTCTCATGTGTTAAAATTTCTAATAATCAGAGGGGTGATACAATCAGCCGTACTCCATGTCTTGGGCGACACAGGAAAGTCGTATACGCCGATTTTGGTGCTTTCTAAAGGAAATATGGGATTTCGTGCCTCGTATCTCATATTAATGCTGATTTGTTGGAAATTTGCAGTCGAAAAAATTTGAAATTTAAATACATAGATAAATACATAGATTGATAAGCAAGGTAAAGAGAAACAATTGGCGCCCTGCAAGATCGGGCGCCCCAATTATTTATTAAACAAGTTTCTGAAATCGATACTTTGTGGCTTATTCCATGAGTGCGTATCAATTCGGGAAAAGTCATGGGAAGATGAGACGACACATATCGCCGAACAAAGTGGTGGTGGTGGTCAGGAGGAGAGCGGCATGAGAAGTGCCGTACGTTCTCCCCACTCACATCAAAATTCGACACAGTCAGAACGAGAGAGAGAATGTGTGTATGGTGTCGTGCATATGCCACTGAGATTGGGAACATTCGCAGTGTTTTTGCAAATGTTCCCAGCCAGCTAAGAGTTCAGATTATTTTACACAGCAAAGCAACACAAGTACATGTATAAAACTCTGACTCAGAAAAACCCTTATAACTTTCTGCCGCCAGCAATTGGGAAACTAATTTTTATTCCGTTAAATAACATTTTAGCAAAGGCACACGATAAAATATTCAAAACTTTCCCGATCAGTGGCGGCAGATGTTTAAATTGGGTTTCAAAATTGCATTTAAAACTGTTTTGTTTTCAGAATTTTGAAATTCTGGAAGCTTATGTGCAACGAATCTGCAGATAAAATCTTTGTAAATTACGACTATTAAACCAACCACTACAGTTTTTATAATATTTAAGAATTTTGGTCAGTTTTGAATTTTTTCAAATGGGAAAATTTCCTTTAATTTTCAAAATACATTAAAACGGGAAAACACGTCAAACTTAAATTTTTGTGTCCCATCATGATGATTTTTTATAAAATTATTGGCAATTTCATGCCGGTCTCGATTTGATAGGTTCACGTGGAATAAGCCTTGTTACTGTTCATCCAATATTAGTAGTCGCAATTTCTTGGAAAATTTTCTGAGAGGTTATTTGGTTGCTAATTAAAAAATTAATAATCTGCCAGGTAACCTTTCAGAATTTTTTGCGACTAATAATACTGGGCGAACAGTAGTTAAACAATCTCGAAGTTATTCTGATTTTTTTTCATTTTTTAACAATATATTTTGTTAAGGGGTACATAAAAAGATAATTTGCACAGAACTTGAGCTTAACTTTCCCGTTGTTGTTAAAATTAAGTGTAAAAATATGTAGAACATGTTTTTGTGTAAAGAAAATTCTATGAAAATTTTGGGGACGGATCTGGAATCCAATAAAAACGTGTTACACGTAACTGACAAGGATTTTTAGCCAATGCTTTTGTCATTTGGCAGCTTACATAATCCAACAATTCTTAATTTGCCCCACCCAGATCCTCGAAGCCATCTTCGGCAAACTCACCCTCCCCGCCTTGAAGCGGGCCCGGCTCGTTTGCCACGACTGGAACGATGTGGCCGGCACCCTTTTAGGAAAACGGGCTTATCTCCACGTCAACAAGGTTGTCTCGTTCAAATCTGCCGCCACCTTGTCTGAGGTCACCCCAGTCCACGACGAAGTGATCCGGCGCCTCCTCATCTCGTACAAATTTGCCCCGTCCGTTCCTGCCGAGCAGAAGGCTCTCGTTGTTACAAACGCGCTTAGCTCCGTGGCTCAAAAAGGATCCCAATCAACGCGCGAAATTAAATTTCGCGTCGCCGAAAAAGAATTTATTCCCGCCTTCCTGGAAGGAATAAGGTTGTTCGGGGCAACGAAAATTGAAAAAATTTACCTCTCAAATATCTGGCCACCTCGAAATGATTACGCAATTCCCGCTCAAACTTATCAAAAACTCCCCCCTCAAGATCACCTGACTTTCATCAAATTCAAGATTTTTATCCAAGATGAACCTCCCAGAGCCTTCGGGCCATACGAATTTCAACCCTTTTTACAAATCTGGATCGATGCAGCTACCAATTTGACCAGTTTGGACGTGACGACCAACTTCTATCCGAATTTGGAGGGGTGTAAAAATCTTAAATTTTTGAGATATAAATTCGTGCGGATGGCTAGTTACTATGGGTGGTATCCCGACTTGGATTTTGCAAAGGTGGCAAAGATGCTGGGACAGGTGAAGGATTCCTTAATCGAGTTGGAATTGGAGCACACGATCCTTGGTGCCACAGGGGAGGTAAGCATTTACATTTTTCAATGGGTGCATATTCACGGCAACATCCTGTTTATAGGAATTTCGCAAAATTAGCAACCTTAAAAAATTGAATTGTGAGGAGGGGATTGTTCAAGATGTTTTTGTAATATGTAGCTACGCAAAGTTTCTGATTCGATTTACATGAATTTGTGTAATTTGTTTGAGAGGTAACTTGTTTTGCGAAATTTCGTAAACATGTATGTTTGCTTTTATGCTTAAGCGTAATACTCAGGGCGGATTTTTTCTGTGAAACGGCAAGTTTACTGGTTTGGATTAAATTATTCCTTCACTGAAAGTACTTAAATTTAAGAACAAAGTGTATGAGTAATATCGCATAGAAGTGTTTCTGTTTCAAATCCATTACAAAAATGTTATTGAAGTCTGTCTTTTCCTTAATTTTTGCCCATGAAAAATCCGCCCTGAGTACCAGACTTTAATTTGCAAGATAATTCCCAAGGTTTCCGTGACTCCGCTTAATATATAAAACCTTGATATTGTCGATCAGTAATACATACATAATTATGGGTTAAATTTAATTCACCACCGATTTAGGAGAAACTTCCACCTATTTTAGCCGAATTCGCCACCGGACGAACTCCTTCCAACTCCTTCAGTATATTTGATGGCAACCACCATCTAAATTAATGGCTGACAAGGCTAAAGTTGGAAGAATTTCATCCGGTGGCGAATTCGGCTAAAATAAGTGGCATATTTCATCTAAATCGGTGGTACATTAAATTAAACCCAAAATTATTAAGTAATGAAAGCCCTTTATAAGATCGTTATGTCCGTCTGTCTGTCCGTTGGTCGGATAACTTTTGAACGGAATGACATAGAGACTTGAAATTTTGAACGTAAACTCCTAACGTCAAGAGACAGGACGGGTGCGAGGAGTGACACTGTGACATCGTCACCTGTGACGATGACGTCGTCACAGTGACAAAAAGTGACGAAAAAGTGTAACGTGTCAGGTTTGGCATGTGACACATCATTTATGGCTAATTTATAACGCCGAATTCAATGGTGACCTCCATTTTGACATCGAAGGTCACACAGAGGTAGAGGTGAAATGGATTACCAAAACGAAAAATCCATCCAATCCAAAATCCATTTGGATTTATCTAATCCATCCAATCCATTCGAAATTTTGTAAAAAAAATATCCAATCCAATCCATAAGTTTCAAACCATTAAAAATCCAATCCAATTCAAACTAAAAACAAAAAGATCTGTATTATCCAGCACTAGTTTTAAATTAAACCAATATAATTAAGTGTAAAAACATGGATGTAATATTTACAAAGTCAGCAAAACTGTATTTAAAAAAATACTACCATGATATACACACCTATTGTTAAATTTCGTTATATTTTTAGTATAACAGAACTAGTTTATACGACCGCCAATCGACAGGCAAAAACTAGATGCCAACATTAGTGAATTTGGCTCTCCTTTCAAATGGCAATATGTTACCGATCAAACCAGCAATACACCCGCCTGCTTTAAGTTCAAAATATACGTAGATAAATACACAGATTTTAGAATATTTAGAACGACATAACGTCCTGGTTATGATTTCTATACAGAAAGTCACAGTGAAAATTCATAATTTTTCTATAACCGAAAATCCATCCAATCCAATCCAGATTTCCGATAATCCAATCCAATCCAATCCATAATTTTTCCAGAACCAAAAATCCATCCAATCCAATCCAGATCTTTGATTATTCAATCCAATCCATATCCATGGATTGGATTGGATTCCAAATGGATTGGATAAAATGGATATCCATTTCACCTCTACACAGAGGTTAGCAACTACTAAACTTGACACATCTGAGATACCAACGTAGAAAACACGTCAGAAGTGTCAATTTTAACAAATTTGCGAACATACTATGATATTCACTTTGACGTATGCCAATTCTTTCACCCCTTGGTTACATACGTTGTAACGGTTTTTTGTATCCATCGTAGATCCAAACTCTTGCGGAGGTTCCCGTCCTGTCAAAACTTACCAGGCTGGCCATCCCATCAATTAATATATACCGAATTCGTGACTTCTTTGATCACGACCACCTTCCCAAATTAAAAAGCGTCTCGGTCAACGAACGAATCATGCCATCGTCGCTGTTATGCCATCTAAATTTATGGCAACGACACACCGGAGTTCGCTCTCTATCCTTGGATTTGTGCACCTTGGGGGGGACAGACTACGCGGAAGAGTTTGTGGATGTATTTCCCGCCGTTAAAGAATTCCATTTAAGGGCGGAGGTCTCATTTCACACGACCCTTTCGGACATCAATGAGATTCTGGGACCATGGCAAAAGTGGGATTTGGAACGGGTCAAGGTTCACGTGAAATTATTTGGAGATTTTTCCTTGTTGGTTGACATCCTCAAAGCTGTATCGGAATTGAAAGGTATATGGTGTGAAATATGTTTATTTCTAAATATGTAAAGGGCGTTGATTTAAATCGCGTCAATTTTTCATGCCAATATTTGACAACTTGTTCCTCGGTGAAAAATTGGAGATCAATTTGTGTAACAGAGATACATACATTTGATACATTGCTACTTAATTGTTCGGCAATTCATGAATGGGACCGTCCATAAATTACTTAACGCAAGAAGGGGAGAGTGGGGGTCTAAAGCTCCAATGATATCGTGCCTATGTTACCTTACACATGTTAATGGGGGAGGGGGGTCTAGAAAATCGCGACTTTTGCATTACGTAATTTATGGACGGCCCCTATGCTAATGATGCCATAAATACATAAACTCTGGTGTTTAGACGTTGCGCAAATTTTCGTGACTTACGTGAGGTTCCCAAAACCCCATAGGAAAATCCTTTACTAATAATGCACATGTTCTAAATGTTGTTCGCGGATTTTCTAAAAACCACGACAGAAAAAAATCAAATACTAGCTTTTACCAACTTAAAACCTTAAGAACTCCGTGAATTTTTCAAAAGTGCTAATTTACCAAACCAGCTTTTTGTTTGTATTCAGTTATAGAACATACTTACATATATTACGTCATCAAAAATTTTCTATTTTACTGATAGCACCTACACACTCAATGTATGTATACATTAAGGAATACGGAATTTTAACATGGGGGAAGGTAGGACGACCTCACCCAGTAAAAAGATGCCGTAATATATGGACGTTCCCTTAGTTGATTTTTAAGTCCAGGTTTCTAGAAGGAACATGTGCGATATGTGCAGTTATCGAATTAATGCAGCGTCGTGATAATTTCAGGAGTTAAAAGTATCCAGTTCTCCGACATTTTCCTTAAGGGGGACACCTTTTCCCCCTTCGTTGAAGATGTCATCTTGGACAGTGGAGGATTCAAAAGCGTAGAAATCTCGGGCTGTTGGGTACATAAATCGCAAACGATAAATAATTTTCAACCATAATTTTTTTTTCTTTATTAAATTTTCTAATAATCCAGGGGAAAGGAATTGTGGAACGAATCCAACCCATTTTCAAGGCCAGCGGTGCTCCAGTTCGTCTTGTGCGTGACGATATTAGCAACAATATTGGATATCGGATTTACAACTAAGCGGGCATTTTAGTGTCTCGACTTTCCCTTCTTCCAAGCATTAATATAAATGACAATTTTGAAACTTGTTTATTCAATAATAAAAAATTACAAGTATTCAATTTGGTTCTCTGTAGGTGAATACGAATTCAATTTTTGATTTTTATTGAAAATTAACTCTGCAAAAAACTCATTCAAACCGTATGCAAAACATGTTATGCAAATGTTTAAGTACTTATATAAATCCACACAAAATGTCAATGACCAACCCGAATGGTAGCATTTCATGATATCACGAAATGAACCGGCATGTATTAATTTGTATTCCTGAATTTCTGTGGGCTCCATTAGCGTCCACCTTCACCCTCATGAGGGCAAAATAGCCCTCCCTGACGTGCCCTGACCCCCATTTTCGTGAGGGCGAGGAGCTGTAGGAGGTGTCTTACCTGTAGTCGAAGTTTTCGTATCGCCCTTCCTAAGAAGCCTTTGATGTACTTTTACTACGATCTTTTCTACGAATTTCATCTTTTTTACTAGGTTACATACACCTTTAAAGTTTGCAATTTGCCTAACAATCCTAACATGCGATATTTGGTTTTCACGCCCAACTTACTAGAGACCCTACCAAGATGTTGACTAAATTGATTTGGTCCAACTTAAATGTATGAAAGAAGTAAATAGTTGTTGTTGTCTCGTAAATTGTGTTTGGGTAAAGAAACTTGTACGTTTTCGATGTATTTATTTGAATGCTAGTCCGAGTCCATTGGTTTTACAATTTGGTAGCACATTGAGCTGAATTTACACTTCGGTAGGTTTCCTAGCTGAGAACTAAATTATTAATATACTAATTTTGTTGATTGATGAAGAACTTAGCCAGACTCCAATGTATAAGTCGATACGTAGCGTGCACATATGTAGGGACACTTACTTTTATACAAGGTATCATAAGTAGCAAACTACGCAAACATGCCTTTGCGAAATTACTAAACAGTAATATTATATATATCAATCTAGATATATGTATATGTAACAGCAACGTCTCTATTTCTTGTCAATCCAAATAGGAGCATCGTTATACACTATCAGAAAACTAACATTGCTTCACATCATCCTGTACAAGTCTCTGTTCGCCTCTTAACCCAGTAACTGGAAAAATAGCAAAATCCGATCGTCCAAAATTGAAATGTGCGGCTGTAACTTAAAACTGCACCATTTGTTTTTGATCATTACTTTTCTACTCTGCAGCGTTTCCGCCAAGCATGAGGCAATATTTAATTTTGGTGACTTGCTTAGGAATCTAAATGGCTGTGACATTCAAATTTTACATTCTTGGGGTTTCGACGAACACCTTTTCCTTGAAGAATTTAAGTTGGTCACCACTATGTTCATTCCGATGGATGACAAAGCCCTTTGGTTTCATGCCAGACACGACACAGTTCCCGCAATGGACGTTTTAAATTCTCGCGCATCAACATGTCGATTGAGTTTCACTTTAGTTTCGACGAAAACAGACAAACCCAGCGATCCACTTGCTGAACATATGAGTTACTTGCTTGAGGTTGTTTCAGAAAGTTATCTGTATTACAGAAATATCCGAGTTAAACGAAGGAAGTTAGTGTCAAATAGAAACGCAATTATTAATCTCGTATTAATCGGACCAAAGAGGAATATCTGGTTGGGAAGATTCACCCAACCGATGTTTTGTTATCTTCTTTTAATTATCGTGGTACCAGGTCACAATTTTAAGATCTGTTTTCCGCAATATTCAGCTAATAAAGCTTTGCATTTCGTCTCAGAAATTCCATGTCTTCCGGAGATACACTTCAATGATAACTTTGTTTCTACTATTGAAAATATGGGATTAGTGTTTGAACATTTTCATATTTTAGAGTCCAACTGGCAGCTCAAACCTTCCACAAAAGAGAAAACTACTGGATTCGACATAGCCATACAAACTTTGGTAGATCAAGTAGTTTTGGGAATATTTTTCAGATGTAACGCAACTATTGAACAGGATTACAATGGAGCTTACTACTACAGATATATGGAAAAAATCAGGCTGACCACGATATATTTGGAGAACCATCTTGAATTAATATACACGAAATTTGAAGAATACCATTTCTTGACTTGTTACACCGAACCCTATATTTCATTCTATTTTTATTTTTCCCCTTTTCAATACAAACTCTGGGTCGTGTTGGCTATATCAATCTTCATAATGGTGTCAATAACGACCATAGCTGTTCATTACCTAAGGGAGAGGCAAACCTTCTCCGCTTGGTTGTTCGTTTTAGCCACGCTCTTTGACGAGACGGGCTTCTTGCCTAGTAAGATCGAAAAACACACTTTCTTCCGATTCACGCTAGGAACATGGTGCCTCATGAGTGTCATTTTAACAAATTGTTACAACGGAATTATGATTACGGAATTAAACGCGCCATTAAAGTTATTTCATCCAGAGACTTTTGACCACTTGCGTTGCCGCCAAGATTATCTGGTGGATATAGAGGAATACTACCATATAAACTTAACCGCTAAAGCTAACGACTCTCGGTACGGAACCAAACGCTATACGCAGTTAAAGATGACACAAGAACGGTTTGTCATTTTACAATACGATGTACGTTAGTTACTTTTTGGGACGTAACGATAAAGCATTGCACGACATTAATTCCACTTTGGTATCCAATAAGTGTTACAGCTTATTATCTGCGTTCCGAAGAAGCCGTGGGGGAAAATTGATGCCCGAGTTTTTCATTGATTTAATTTTGTTAGCGAAGAAATTTCGCGAGAATTCGTGGAAGGAAGTTACTCGATCATTGCCGTATACTATTCTAAACTTTTTCAATTCAAAACATTCCCACCGTCCAAAAGACTTCAGTCATATGCAAGGTAGCATAAATAATTTAATTTTACGAAGTGTAATAGAGCAGGAAGTCGTGCAGTGTGGGAAGACCGTATTTATAGCGAAACTCTCTGAGCTGAAATTGGAATATGAATTCTTATCTAGAAGGTATCCAAGGACAAAATTTTTCATTAGTTCTAAAGGAGTGCTAGGTAATCCAAGCGGTTGGAAATTTACTCACCCGTGGAGATCTCGGGTTGCTAAAGGCGTTAAGAGGGTAACAGAAGCAGGGATATTGCGATACGCAGAAAGCCAAGACATGGCGAGGACCAATTTTAACAGAACACCAGCCATGGAACAAGCAACGAGTGTTAAGCCGATTAATATTGCCACCCTTAGTGGAGCCTTACTAATAGTGTTTATCCTAACGGGTAGCTTAATTTGTGCAACAATTTTAGTTTTCGTGCTCGAATCTCGGTGTTGTCTATTGCTTAGAAAAAGTCAGGGATCACTTAAATTGAAGAGGTGTCGGTTCTGGAAGAACAAATTAGCTGGTAAGACTATCGTGGCTAGTACTGTCATCGTTGCCCCGGACAAAGGCAGAACCAAAAAGTTATGTATCTGTTAAAGTGCATTCGATGAAATAATCATGGCAGCTCCTTCTGGGAGGAGGAACCCAAACAATAGTTTTATGAAAGGGTGCCGCCAATTTTCCGACTTTGTCGACTAGTTTTTCTGATTACTTACGACCAGCAGTTGGTTCAATTAAAGATTTCTTGATATATTTCTGCTGATTTATTTCACACGAGGATGTATGCATGTAAGTATGATGCATTTTAATTAGCTTCAGCGGGATTTAGATTTAAAAAAATGGTCAACTGGAAAACCAGTTGACAATTTTGACTGAAAAAGTTTGCAAAAACGCTCTGAAAAAATTTTGATGAAATATCCAGTACGTGCGCAGCTCTATGGTGCATCTTAAAAGTATTGAGCATCGGCCAATGTTAATAAATCCAAAAGGCTAAATGGCCGACCTCTCCATAAGCTATAACATGTAAAGTTTCGAAATTAATTGCACGGTCATTTCCTGATGGATTTTAATAATGGCGCCCGTTTTGGAAACCTTGGACCTTGGGGAGAAATATATATTTTCAGATTTTTCAAATTCTGCCCCACCCCCTCGAAATCTAGGTCACAAGGTAAAAAAAACAAGTAACATTTCTTTATCGGATTTTAAAATTTTACGACTGGATTCGACGGACCTGGGGATAAATTCTTGGCGAAAATAGTCAGATCATCATATTCAGCGACTAGTAGGCCGCACCCCCTGCTTTGGAGTCATTGTGGGGGTGGTAAAATGTCAAATCAACACACTTAATTTAGTAAAAAAATTTCCCCCCACCGTAGTTTCCGAAATTCAACGTCGCCAATACACGTAATCTTACCAAGGCCCCCTATGTGAACGACATTCCATTGTCGTAGACCCCATGGCGACAGGGGGTGTGGTTATCGGCGCTTCTGCCAATACCTTACGAATGCACGCCATGCGACATATCATTTTTCTCAGGCGGGTAAGGAGATTTCAGTGGAGTATTTCAAATTTCAATATGCCACACCCCCTGTGGGTGTGGCTATCGGTATCCAATGGATAAATTTAAACCTGGTCATGTGACATATCAATTTTCTCAGCTCGCCAAGGGGATTTCAGTGACGTAGTTAAAATTTAGTAAACCACACCCCCTGTGGGTGGGGTTATACGTACTCGGTGAATCTAACTAAACCTGGTCATGTGACATATCAATTTTCTCAGCTCGCCGGGTGGAATATCACTGACGTAGTGAAAATTTAGTAAACCACACCCCCTGCGGGTGTGGCCGTTGGTATGCAGTGAATCAACTTAAACCTGGTCGTGTGACATATCAAACTTCTTAGGACGTTAAGTAGATTTCAGTGGTATAGTTAAAATGTAAAAAGCCACACCCCCTGCCGGTGTGGCTATCCGTATCCAGGGAATCTACTTCAAGTGGGCCATGCGGCATATCAGGTTTGTCAGCTTGCCAAGGTTGGCGAAACAAGTCATCACGCCGCGTGTAAATTTTCCAAGCTCGTTACGGCGATCAAAGTTATGTAATTCAATCAAAGTCACGCCTCCAATTGGGCTGGACTGCTCAACTTCTACAAAACCAACCGATGTGAAAAGCCATTTTTTAAATATTTAATGCAGCATCTCCATCATTTTGCAGAATAATTAAAATTCGC